CGTCCAGCCCGTAACCAGTCACTATAACGGATATAATAATAATAATAATAATAATAATAATAATAAAAGATAAATTTATTTCCCTGCTTAATTAAATAAGCACTACGCTGTAAAGACGCACGGAAGACTGAAGCTACAGCTCCACCAATCTTGACCTCGGCACTAGATAGAGTTGTATGGTCAGCTTCACGCCCCAGCCGCTTTAACTTCGAGCGAAAGAGCTCTCGGTACATATTGTATGGGGCTAGGAGGGTTCCAGGGCCGGTTTGGCCGCTGTTTCTTGCTTCTGCCGAGAAACGAAACTCGGCCGTCGCTAGCCCCTCGCTATACCGACTGAGCTACACGCACTAAGAATAATAATAACAATAAGAACAACAAAGCACAGATGCTTTAGCTCAGTGGCCTTGACAAGGACATGCTATTATAGTAATTACCGTATATATCAAGGGGACCATCTTGAAGACCCTGCGTCAGGGCGAGGATGTCCAGCAGGTCTCCACACTGCATGAAGGCGTCCCCCAGCTGCTGTAAGCAACACAAATAACAATGGTTACCTAGCAATACAGATATCGTAGTTACCACTTCTACAACGCGACACAGGAACAACATCTGTGACCCGTTTCCTATTGGAAAATATATGAGGTAAATGGTAAAGGTATCCCTGTAACAGGCCGTGGAGGCCCATAGGGTTGCGAGACGTCGAGGATCTCATAGTTTCTAGACAATCGGCTCATAGATGACGGTGAGGTTACCGTCCTTATTCGCCAGCCGCCCTTCACCCCTAGCAAGATTCCTGGTTCTCATTTCTGCCAGGGGCTGACCCGAACCCAGGGCTATAGTGTGGCTGGAATGATTAGGTCCATTGAAAAATCCGATAACCGCATCGGAACCCGCGACCTTGAGGCTTGTAGCTTAGTGGCTCAATCAACTATGCTACCGCGTGCCCCTAAGGAAGATACATATGATTCTTAATCAACTCCAGATGTTTAACAGAACATTCTATCCGCGTGGGTGTGTGTGTGTGCGTGCGTGTGTGTGTCATTAACAAATTGCCATATTGTCATGAAAAGGTACCGGATATAATCACGCTTGAGTGTTGAGTCAGGAAACCGACTGCCTTGACTGCTTCTGACACTTTTCCGCAGTCACTCCAGCATAGTGTTGGAATAGTATTCTGTCTTCAAATAGATTACAATCACTTGCTTCCAGTCTCCCACATATATTTTGCCATACGGACGAATTACTGCCTATATTTTCTTTTTACGGCGCACCTGAATACTAAACGAAATATCGTAATTGAGTCAACACTTGCATGCACATGACTTCTAAAATAAAAATAGGGTATGAATTTTTCCATGCTCAGCCTCTAAGAGAAATGAGTACCAGGAATTTCCTGCGGGGGGGGGGGAGAAGGACGGCCGGCGCGTAAGGCTGACAAACTCACCGTCATCTGTGAGCCAACTGTGTAGAAAATGTGGGAGCCTCGACATTTCACGACGGTATGGGCCTCCATGGCCTGTTACAGGTATAGCTTTATTTTTTACTTTTTAAATTTGTCCCTGTTTTCGTTCATGAATCACTATTCAGTGATTCAGTATTGAGGGGGTGTGTTTCCCCATGCACCGCGACTGATAGTCTATTGTACGTCCCCCTCTTAATTTCTACAGTCTCCATCCCCTACCGGTACTGGTGGTGCTCGCTATTAGCCCCTTTCTGCCAGCGAGGTTTCTACCCTCTACTTGGCAGTGGTATCTAATAGTTAGTCCCTTTCTGTCAGCGAGGTCGTCCCTCCTCTGGCAGGGGTTCCTAGTCCCTTTCTGCCAGCAAGGTTTCTACCCTCTACTTGGCAGTGGTATCTAATACTTTAGTCCCTGTCAGAGAGGTCGTCCCTCCTCTGGCAGTGGTACCTAATACTTCCCCATCTACCCGAGGCATTGGAAACTACTTTGGGCGGGAAATGTTTGGCCTAATTTTAGCTCAGCGGTCTCTTAAAAACATGAGGTTGTTTTACGTGCCGTAAATCTACGACACGGGACCCACGGCTTAAAGTCCCTTCCGGAGGACTTGTTCCCTGAATTTTGCCGCCCTTAAAAATTCCACGACCTCCGCCGGGTTTTTTAACCCGCGTACCTTGAGTCATGAGGTGGGAACGTTACCCCTAGACTACGGATTCCGCTATGAATCACTATACCATGAAGACCTATTGCGGAACGGAGATATACTGCCACCGTTCCTGACCTCTCCACAGATGGAGGTGAATGTTTTGATTCACGCCCCGGCCGCTTTACCGCCGGTGAAATCTGTCCCCGTTACTCAGACGATAGGAGGCTGGGTGGGCTCCAGAGCCGGCCTGGACTTTGTGGAGTACAGAAAAATATCTTTCCCCTCCAGGGAATTTAACCCCGGTCACCCAGCCCGTAGTCCGTCGCTATACCGACTGAGCTAACCCGGTTCCTCTAGCATCAATCAGACAATAAAAAGAAAGAAATAGGTGCAACCATGCTAATCACTCCATGATGAATAAAATATATAAGTATACGCGTACATTAAACTTAAATACAATTTCTATATCAATGATACTAGTAGACCTAATAACAACAAACAAACTCCGTGGTTTTAGTCAGCACGCGAACTATACCGACCGAGCGACCGCCGCTTGTCGGCGAAGTTAGTGCCAACTTTAGCAGATAGAGGGTATCGCGTGGTCAGCAAAACTGATCCCCAAGGCCGTTTATTTCGGTTGTCTACACCGAAGCCGATATTTCCTTGAATTAGCTTCTCAAGTATCATCACGAGGCTGAGTGGATCCCATTCCAGACCCACTACTTCTCAGAAAAAAAGATGGTAGCACCGGGAATCGAACCTGGACCTCTGGATCTGTAGCCAGGAACTCTAACCACTAGACAACGGAGACGGTGACCCAATAACAACAGTAATAATAATAATAATAATTTATTTT